AAGTACATTCAAACAATATCAGACGTGTATATTCTCGTTAATCATTCTCAACGTGATACAATGTTTTTTTTAGCGAAATTCATCCACTCATATCACATACTCACACGGTTTATTTCGTATTAATCTTCACTTATCTTGTTTATATCAACATTTTTTAAATTTCGTATCAACAATGCCTCATCTATTTTATCTTACATTTGTTTTTAAATACTTCTCTCGTTTAGTTCACTGTTACATTACATCATTTTTTCAAATACAATATATTCGCTATGGGTGTATTACACTTTTTTCTTATGTTCATCATGGTATTATGCACTTACTCTTTCTTGTGTGGGGAAGTCGATGTTAAATTCGACACAAAATATGATAATAATCATAATGAGCTGAAACAGCTACTCGCTGAACACAAAACGTTTACACCAACCAACTGGACCCATTATGCCTATTTGATAATGTTGATTGTGGGAGCGGTGGTCTTCATTATTGTCTTCGTTTATGTTTATCGATGCTGCTGGCCAATGGTAAAGCTAATCCATCGCGCTCAACAACACAAAAATCGTATAAAAAAATCATTACCAAGTCCGCCACCTTATTCTCAACCACCATATACGCACACACAAAATCAATTCGGCAATCAAATTTTACAACACAACAATTCGTCAGTCTTGCCGCAACGCCATGAACCAACATCGTCGATACAACTATCACCCAGCCGGATCGTCTAATAAACACGTTTTCTCGTTCATTAGAATTTCTGCTCAGTTTTCTTCGTAATACTCGAATTACTTTTATTATCAGCTTTTATATTTGTAATCATTTCGTACATAATTTCTCGTGAACAAGCTGAATTATATTAAGTTTTTTCGTTTCCTTTACTATTTTATGCTACGTTATTTTCGTTTTTTCTCGTGTTGCTCGAATCGTTCAAAATCGTATTTTATCATTTACTTTGTAACTTTTCTGGAGGGGGGAAGTGTTATGTCAGTAGAGACATCTCCTGACATAAGAAGGCCCTCTTTATCCCTCTATCATACTCATGAGATGGAACCGACTGGTGGAAGAGAGAGATAGAGAGAGTGTAGGCTTTGTGCTTTTTTTGTTGTGTGGATCAATGGTTTGTTTTTGTGAAGGAGGAAGGAATAAAAGGGAACAGGAGAAAAGGACCTAACAGATACCAAGAGGTACGAGAAAGTACCAGAACGTACGAAAAAGTAGGAAAAATTAGTAAAACTACCAAAATGTACAAGAAAGTTTAAAAAACTGAGAAAACTATAGAAAAATACTAAGAGGTACGAAAAAGTTCAAATAGTTATGTTAGTAGGTGTTGACCATATACATTAATTTATTATTAAGTTTAAGGTCAGAACTTAACACTTAATATTAAGAGTTCACTTTTTCTATCAAACCCGTAATAGATTAATATTAAGTGTTAATGAATTCATTTAAAATTATTATTAAAATTAAGTCATTCATTTAACATTCAATTTTTAAATTAACGTTTTTACTTAACAACCTAATTCAATAATATTAACTGTTAAGTGATTGAAATGCATGAAACAATATTTTAGTTCGATCTTTTCCCGAAACGAAAAACGCAATGCAGAAAAAATTCAAGAAAATCTTATTGAGGATGACTCATATTACTCTAACAAGTAATGATGACTCATACAGTTAATCCAAAAGGGCTGTAACCCTCAGATATGAGTCGATGGGTATTGTTTAGCTTCTAGCGAGCTGTGAACATCATGTACGAAAGCTGTTACTGCAATCCCTTATTGGATTACAAAAATGAAGCACGAAGTAGTTGCTGTAGCCAATATTCTAAACGGCACGGCTCTTTATGCATACAGATGTTTATTTCTTCATAATGATTTACCTTACATTATAGACATCACATAGGATAGCACTTTGTACATCATTCGCTCATGTGTTAGTTCTGCATCTTCTCTGATTTCTTCCAAATCTTCTATCAGTCTAAAATGACCCGGAGTTCTGTTTGTCATAGTGCGCAATTGACTGTAATTCTGTCTACACGTTCCGTCATGCACTAGGAGGTATATTTGTAACTGTCAAAGACGAGTAATTTGTTGATTACATATTTATTAATTAATTCAATAAATAATACGACTGTCACTGTCTGTCTGATGGGTAGGTGTGTACTAATTTGTACCGCTACACACTTCAACTTTCTCTCCGGTTCAAGTTTCACAAAATGCCATACTCACAGATTATTTCTATCGACATCTTTAATTTTTGACGTCGGAAAATTTCGCATAAGAATACAGTACTTCCAGCGCTGATTCGCCTATATATCTGTGCTATGTCTAGAAACGTTCTCCTGGGTGCTAAATTTAACTCAATGTCGAATAGTATAATTTTCAGACGAGGTCATCGAGCAGAAACAACAGTCTTTTCTTGAAATACTGATTTCTCACATATGCGAGCATATACGACGAAGTGTATTTGTTGATCCGATCACCTGTGTATGTGTACTGTGACTGGAAAAGATTGTCGTGGGCGCGAAATCGAATCGTCTCTCGATTGCTACGATTTTGAGATATGCCGATCCTGAAGAAACTACACTCTTTTCTTGTAATACTGATTCGTCACCGGTGCCACCGGAAACGAAGAACCGTATTTGTAGCCCCTATTCTCGTCTGTATCTGTGCTATGTCTGCAAAAGCGTCTACTAGGTGCAGAATTGAATCCCTTATCGAATGCTAATATTTTCAGATAGGATTATTCAGCGAAAACTGCTGTCTTTTGTTGAAATACTGATTTCTCACCAATACGAGCATATACGACGGAGTGTATTTTTAGACCCGATTCCCATGTGTATCTGTACGGTTTGTGGAAAAGGCTATGCTGGGTGCTGAATTGAATTGTCTATCCAATGGAACAATTTCCAGATAGAGTCACCTAGCAAAAAGTTTGGTGTTTTCTGGAAATACATGTTTTTCACCTAAGCTATTGTATACGAAGAAGTTGATTTCTTGCCCCCATTCGCCTATGTATCTGTGCTGTTTCTGCAAAGGTATGTCTGGGTGCAAAATTCGATTCTATATCGAATGGTATATTTTTCAGATGTGCTATTATGTACAAATAAGCGTATTTGTATCCTTGATTTCCCTCTATATCTGTTTTCTGTCTGCAAACTTTGGTGCTGGGGGTTGAGTTCGATTCTCAATCGATTGATCTAATTTTCAGATAGTAGCATGCAACAAAATTTTGGGTCTTTTCTGTAAATACTGATTTTTCACATATGCTACCAGATTTGAAGAAGTGTATTTGTAGCGGGGATCCGCCTGCGCATCTATGTTATATCCGGAATCGAGCACAATTTAAGAAAAATTCGTAATTCTTTCTGCCTTGCTTCTCTTTGAGTTCTTATCTCTGTAAACTTAGTTCTATCAGCTTTTCTCTTTTTTCTCCGTGCCGTTATTTTTATGGCTCACAAATAGTTCGAGCGAAACAAAGTAACATGTGAACTTCAATATTTCATCATGTTCTAATAGCATCTTTCTCCCATTTCGAAACAATGTATTAGGTGTGTCCTAGTCCTATAAGCGGTTTCTGCGTAATACTGAACTGGAAATGTCGAACTAATCGCCAGGCATCCCCAAACAGATCCAGTTTCGCTGCGTGCTGGTTCTAAATTGCAAGTCAACCAGTCTTCAACGATACCACTACACATTACAAAAATTTCCTTTCATCTTGTCTTAGTAAACTCCGATGGTAACTCATGCAACACTGAGCAATGTGATGGATTTGCAGCAACCTCATAGAGAGAACGTTCTTGACTTCAAAACGCCCGATTGTCACTCTCTGCATTGCCCTTTCCGCTATTTACAGCACACATAAACATGGAAGCCACAATCTATTATTAATATTAGCTTCAGACAATCCTACCAGAAACGCGGCGCTCGTAGCTAATGTCCCTCCAGGTTCACCCTCCAAAAAAGTACGTTGAAAAATACAGACAGGAATCGCCAATTATCATCGAATAGAGACCATCTCACAACTAAACAAATATATCTGCGCAAAAACTCAACTTTTTCCAATGACTGTACCTCGAACTAACATCATTCTAGATCACTGAAAATCCGACATCTCTCGATACCACTGACTACATCCTCTCAGATCCACAATCCAATCGCAAAAGCAAAAACACTTCTTCCTCTCTGCATCCATGGGGAACCATAAAGAATTTCAACCGAAGAACTACAACTTTTCTCAATCACCCTATCTGAAAAATATACCATACGCTAGGCAACTGAATTCTGCATGCAGCCCAACACTCTCTAGAATCAGCATATATACATACGAGAAAGGAGCCTAACAATTATCTGAACATAGCGTTTTTCTCAGGGAAATCCGCATCGAACCTTTACTATTTGCTCAACAAGAGTATCTAAAAATGGCACCGTTGGATAGAATGCAAAATTCGGCGTCTGATAGTGCGATTTGCAAAACATCTGCATGCACACATAAGCGAATCGAGGCTAGGAATACACTTCTTCGTATATGCTAGCATATGTGAAAAATCAATATTTGCAGACAAGACCAAAGCTTTTGCTCGATGACCCTATCTGAAAATTATACCATTCAATAGAGAATTAAATTCTGCACCTATCACAACCTTTTCCATACATAGGACAGATACATAGGCGAATCGGAGGAGGAAATACCCGAATCTTGTGCTAACTTTTCTCATGTAATTTTTACGATTTCATTCCATAATATCACAATCCCCCTCAGGTTTTTGAGAAAAATGGATTTTCGATCTTCGATTAAAAACTTTTTGCAAAGAAAGAACTCACTGGAAGTAATGTATTCTAATAGTTTCCACGTTTGAAGTTCCTTTTCTTCCAAGTTAAGAATATAAGAAAGAGTGCCGTTCTTTACATTACTTTTTAACAGTGCAAAATGATGAATTGTCATATTTAATGATAAATGCAATGAAAGAGTTCAACAATTTCAGAATAACTCAGTCGATGTGAAGTCCCTTTTTGCACAATGTTTCGAGTTGAAATTTGGAAGTCGATTTTTCATGTAAACCGACGGAAACTGTGGTATTGTTCCATCAAACACTGTTAAAAACAATAAAAAATTTTGATCAAAATTTAAGTATGTATCTTGGTCCGTGTATGTAAAACAATTGATGACATATAATAATAAACAATGAACTCGAACCAAATAGAATTCTTGGAAAATGTCACAATGGAGTTGCATTTTTCAGAAGTCCTTAGGCTCTTGATTCTATGAGTGCGTTGCTATTTGTATGAAAAGAAAGAACTTCAGGTAGCCTGAAATGCTCATAATATGCAGCAGACATACATAACTAAGTCTATATTAACCAAGTTCAAATTAGGGTAATTCCATGGGGTTTCGACCCAAAAAGACACAACTAACTTCTAATGGGCTGAAAGCTATGCTTTCGTGTGGAGTTTAAAGAGTTATGTTCACGGTAAAAAAATCAGCTCAAAATACATCTCCATTAAGGAGATATAAAGTGCACAAGTTTTGCTGGAAATTACAAAAAATACTAAAAGCCCGAAAAATACAAAATTTTGTTGTATTTACTTGTTTTACATTGAATGACCAAAAATCAATTTTAATTACATATTCTTGTTCCTCAAGTGCTAGAGTATCCGGGCATATATTGCTTTCTAGTTTTTATGAGTCCAGTAAAAATTATCCCGGAGCCACTAGTTGATTCGATTGC